TCTTTGCTGAAGAAGAAGAAGAAGAAGAAGAAGAAGGTCATGACTCTTAGCTATAGAGAAATTGCCTTTTAGTTATAATGGGTTAAACAACCGTCAGTTCCTTTGAACTAGTTTATTGCTATTCAGTTTCGTCTATATGAGACTGACCTTTGCAAGCGCCGAAAATCAAATCACAACTTACCAAGCGCTGCTAAAATGCAAACCGGAATTCAAGCCAAAAGGCTTCATTGTCTGTTGGTAGGCTATCATTTTTAATAACTGGAAATGGGCTGGAAATACTCAGTTCATTCTCGACAGTTTCGTAAATACATCTTCCTGAGATTTACTACGACAGTCATTGCGAACGCAGGTAAGAGAAAAAGAAAGTACTCGGACCCAATTCTCCTTAACCTCTAATTGCGATGGTTAATTATTTTAATTTAACCTTAAATGCGTGTCCAAGGATATGTGCTGCCTCAGCACGCGTCTGGATACTTTCATGAGGAAATAGGGAAACTAGACACTTTACTCAAAAATGTCCAATAGTTTCACAGGAAATCTCCAAATATGTTTAGACGGTGCAAATGAAAGCATCCGGTCCAGTTGTTTTTCAAATCGAAAGTTCCCTCTGCTTCAGATGCTTGCGGGCATTGTCATAATACTCCGTCATTAAATTGGCACAAAGGGCTGGAGAAAATATTCATGTTCAATTGGCAAGTTAACCAGTTTCTGTTTTAAAGCAAAACCGCATCGACCGGTGGATGCGAGATCACAGATTATGACAAATATCTTAAAGCATGTATTTTGTTTTTTTAATATTCAAAAAAAGGCAAATTTCATTAGCTGATTTGTCAAAGCAAACCCAACCTTTACGATAAAGATATGGCGTTAAAAGTAAAGAACGAAAAGCCCGGTCTGTAATTTTAACTCTCTATTTTTGCTACTTATTTTAATTGGATAGCCCGGCTTGTCACACTAGAAATGTGAATGCAAATATAATCGAGAGGCGTGTCGTTGCCTTGATTACAGATATCTCAAGGAACTACCAACTTCTAAAAGAACACACGAAAAACATTATTTTCCAATAGTGAAAGGACAAGGACAAGATGAGAATGAATTTCGAAAAGACTAAATAACTACAAAACTTCCGACAAATGGCCAAATGCATGATATTTGAAAAGCCGGCAGAAACACTGTAACAAAACTGCAATGTTATTGCAGAATTGTTTCAGTATGCGACGCGCAAGTAAAGTGTTCTCGTTCGAAGATAATAAAATACCAGAAGCATAGTCACCATCGAAACCGTCCTCACGCTCCCTATTATTGTTTGGGCTCCTCCGATAGCATGCACGAGACGAGGAAACGCCGACATGACTAGTCACACCTATCCACCACTACTCCAAGGACCATAGAAAGACTGCACATAACTGACTGTTTTATTCTCCAGTTCATTGTATCGGCCTGAAGATGAATGACCAAAAACGATTGTTTGTCAATACGACTTTTAAATTGTTTTCATTAGAATCCGTTTCCGAGGATTAAAATTTTGCCATTGAATAGAATAAAGTGGTGATTGGCTCCCACAACGGACCATGCTGCAGATGAACTGAACCAAAAAAGGAGCCAGCTTGGTTACACAAATACTTTGCGCGATCATAATTACCACCGCAGTGGCACGCCTAGGTGTGTGTTGTTCGCTTCACCAGACACCGTGCCCAATCATCAGATTACTGAGGAGCTCAGAACCCTGACTGACGCATGGGAGAGGGAGAAGCGAACGGGATCAATACTAAGGAGTTTAGCCTCGCGCATTCCTCATTAATGCGTCCTTGAATCCCCCACTACGCGCTAAAGGTCATGGTTAGGGAATGTCCGGTCAGTTCGGGCATTTTCGAAACCGAGAATCAGGATCCATGATTCCTTCTGAATCTAGCCCTTATAACAGTCTCTCCTATGTCAGTTCCCAAGTTGTTCCATGAAAGTCTTGCACCTGCTGTGGGGAACGGGTCGTATGTGACACGCCTAGACGGGCTGTTTACATTTGTCAGCCACTGCCCCCTAGCCCGTGACCGGTGGTCTTTACGTTGTCTTGTCGTCGAAGCCGGGCGAATGGGAAAGATTGTGATAGATGTGTGACAATCCTGAGATCAAC